TTCTTAGAGAACCACCATAAATTTGATGGTCAGGACACCACTGCGCATTCATAACCATTTTGGCAAAAGGACATTTTCCCATCACCGATTACTTTTGGATTATGTGCTCATGAGTTTCATCACCATCCGATCAATGAGTTGGATGGAGATCGAGACTGGTGAGTGGAATCCATGATCCTAGTCATGTCCTATTTATAGGTTCCACTTGCTTTTTATCTCCATCCGAACCATTGATTAGGTAGTGGTGATCTTCACAAACACATGATCAGAGGTCCCTTTTGGTTATAAAAATTGCAGTATGTCCTTTACTCATTTCTTAGTAAAATGTGTGTGTGCATGATTATGTGTGTGAGAGAGAGAGAGAGAGAGAGAGAGATAGAGACTTACATTTGTAAGTTTCACGCTAGAGGTTGCTAGTGTGAATTTAAAACTTGCTTTTCTTTACAGAGTGGTATTGGCACCACTAACCAGACAGAGATCCTTTGGCAATGTCCCACAACCTCATGCAATCTTATATTACTCCCAAAGAACCTCTAAAGGAGGACTCCTCATCACTGAAGCCACTGGAGTCTCAGACACTGCTCAAGGGTATACAAAAGATTTAGACAATTTTATTTTATTAATTAGGATCTTGGTATACATAATTTCAGACAACTTGCTTTATTTTTTATTTCAATTAAATAGGGTTTTTTCTAATAGTATTCATCAAAATCTCAATATTTTTCAATTATATAACGAGGGTTTTTCTACTAAGGTACGCACATACACCTGGTATTTGGACAAATGAGCAGGTTGAGGCTTGGAAACCCATTGTTGATGCTGTCCATGACAAGGGTGGCGTCTTCTTTTGCCAAATTTGGCATGTTGGGAGAGTTTCTCATTACGGTAATTTCAATGTCTGTCATTTTCACCTAAGCAATGGGACAATTCATCTTCATCATCTATTACCGAGGACAGGCGGTGGAGATGAAAGGATGTTAAACAGTGTATATTTTTTGGGTGAAACCATACAGTTTGTATGGTAATAATTTCTTGCAAGGTGGGCACCAATTGGATATAGCATCTAAGGGAATTGCTCCTCCTTAATGGATACTACAGATGAGGGCATGATCATAATTTTCTTGATGATGGTAGCCCTACTGATGTATCATAGAACGGTTGGGGCCAGTTTGAGTTTATTGTTTTTAAAGACAATTACTTCTCTAACAAGGATGAATATGTTCAATCTACATCCATGGGTCCCCCACACTTTGCAAGATTTGAAACCTAAAACATGCCCATAAAACCCTCTTAAATTTATGTTGAAATCTTGCCTTTGTTAAGTCTTTAAATTTCTCTTCAGACTATCAGCCTAACGGGCAAGCTCCAATCTCTTCTAGCAACAAGGCATTAACGCCACAGCTAAAATCAAACCAATTGGATGTGGCTGAATTCTCGCCTCCCCGGCCGTTGGCCACTGAGGAAATCCCTCTCATTGTCACTGATTTCAGGCTTGCAGCAAGAAACGCCCTAGAGGCAGGTAAAACTTTTGAAAACATATAGTTAATTTAGCCATTGTTAATCAACAGGAAATTTGGTCTATGATCATTCAAGGAATTTTAGTATTTTTTATGAGAGGAGGACAATTTGATCTCATCTAATTAAAGCACACTTCAGTTTATATACAAAATCACCAATTCAATTTGGACTTCCTGTCCATATCCAAGGAAAGCCAAACATGTTTTTGCGTTTAGACTCCATGTGAGGAACCAGGGACAAAGATTAGGGTATTTTGGTTGACTTACCGGAAAACACAAGGTACTTCACATTCAAATACTCTTAGGCTCCATTTCGACATGATAATGTCATATAAAAGTAATAGCCTGCTTACATTATGGATAATAGAGAGAAGACATGTTTGTTTTTCTTAGTCTCAATGGCGTTTTGGCCACTTTTTGCAGATAAGTACAGTTACAAAATATAGGCTTCCCGTGAATATTGGTAGACCAATCTGTTATTACCACTTTTAAATGTGAGGAAGTTAAAGTTGTCACAAATCAAACAGAACCTTAACGAATGTCAGTGTTCATGAAAAAATAACATTAAGGAATACTTTACTAAGAAAATTTAAACTAAGGGCATTTACACCAAGGATAACAACTTGGAAGGCTTCTAATCTTAACAAAATGCTTTGTAGTTGACAAATTTTACCCATAATACAAGGCCAAAGTTTGAGATCATAAGTAACTCCAACACAAATTCAAATAGCTGCCGTTTTAAATAATTTTCTGAAGGTAATTCCCAATAACCTATATTGATGATTATTTGCTCAGTTGGGCAGACCAAAAATGATCCATTAGGGTTAATGTTAGCACAATAAATGTGTATAAGCCTAGTAGAACAAATGGAATACTTCATGCAAGCTGGTATGTGTGCATGCGTTTTATCAGAAGATTATTTGAAAAAGTTAGATGGAACTTCTTTCTGTCAGATCAACTACCTGAAAAGACTCCTACATGTTCATTTTTCAATTTGTCCATGCCTTCCATCTTAAGCAAACAACTTAAATGGCTTTATGAGTTTCATCTTTTTCTTGAAAATTGCTATCTAACAAAATGTTTCATATGTGTTTGGAAAAGGCTTCGATGGAGTTGAGATCCATGGGGCCCACGGCTACCTCCTTGACCAATTTATGAAAGACAGTGTGAACGATAGGACCGACCAATATGGTGGAACATTAAAGAACCGTTGCCGCTTTCCATTAGAGGTAGTGGAAGCCGTAGTAAAAGAGATTGGACCCGATAAAGTTGGAATAAGGCTATCACCTTTTGGAGCTCATGCAGAGGCCAAAGACTCTGACCCTGAGGCCCTTGGCCTCTACATGGCTGAAGCTTTGAGTAAATACAGCATTCTCTATGGCCACTATGTAGAACCAAGAATCGTGAAATATGGGGTTCAAGCTGAGACCAACCATAGCCTTCTATCAATGAGGAAAGCGTTTAAGGGGAACTTTATTTCAACAGGGGGGCACACTAAAGAAACTGGGAACAAGGCCATTGTGGAGGAAGCTGCTGATCTCATTGCTTATGGGCGCCACTTCTTGGCTAATCCAGATCTACCTAGGAGATTCGAACTGAATGCTCCATTGAATAAGTATAACCGAGAGACTTTCTATACCCCTGATCCCGTCATTGGCTACACTGACTACCCCTTTCTGTAATCACCTTCTCTAGTACTGTTTGAGAAGGTCTCTTTTTTCTATCGCTATCAAGAAGATGAAAGACGTCTTGAAACTTGGCTCGCAAATTTGTCTTCTTTTCCATCTTTTCCTCATAAGGGATGTAGATTAAATTTGTTGCAATCTAGTAGTCACCTCTGACTAAGTTGCTCCTACCAGATCTTAGGTGGTTCAGTGGCAAATGTTTCACAGAAGCTTCGTTTGTATGAAATCAACTCTGGATTTTGATGTCGGGTCAAAACAAAGTATTTGGTAGGTTGTTTGGCTTGTGCTTCACGGTTCACAACATGCTATACCTTGCACAATCAAATCAAGTATAAAGTGTAAACCCACCTAATTCGCAATTTCAAACTAGTCTCATAGCGAATGGGGGTTTAGATCCAGTGAATCAGGCAAAGTTGGATTTCATGCTACTCTCGTAGCCTTTTTTTTTTTTTTTGGGGGAGGGGGGTGTTTTGATGCAGTGAATCAAGCAAAATGGCTCTTGGGGAGTTTGCTGCAGTGAATCAGGCAAAGTGGCTTTTGCGCAAATTTAGATTTTAAAAGAACAAGAACCATGACAAGATCAATGTCATAAATTCCTGACAAACTTTTGTGCACATATAGAGGGAAAACAGAAGCAGCAACAAAGAAACAACAAAATAAACATACAAAATACAAAGTACTTTCAGGTAATACAATGTAAATGTATGAAGAAGATCACCAGAACATATATACTTTTGGTCCTAACACTTTCCCTTGATTTGGAAATGTCTAGTTAATCAGTGATATTTGTTAGGAAAAAGTTTATATAAGGTTGCAACCTTATATGTAGAACTATGGATGCACCTCAAAATCCAATCGGACAAGGTAGGTTTAATGTTGAAAAACCCTTTGATTGATCATCTCGATGTCGAGATGTATGACCATGAAAAATAAAAAGATTTTAAGTCTCAAAAATAGTACATTTTACACATATTATCTACACC